ATGGAACAACAGGCAAACAGTGGAAGGTAAATACAGACACTTTATCTGTGGCATCTTGTAGTGATGCCAGCTTCACTTATGGATAGTCTGATCTTTAGCACTAAAGACATGGAACAACAGGCAAACAGTGGAAGGTAAATACAGACACTTTATCTGTGGCATCTTGTAGTGATGCCAGCTTCACTTATGGATAGTCTGATCTTTAGCACTAAAGACATGGAACAACAGGCAAACAGTGGGAGGTAAATACAGACACTTTATCTGTGGCATCTTGTAGTGATGCCAGTTTTCACTTATGGATAGTCTGATCTTGAGCACTAAAGACATGGAACAACAGGCAAACAGTGGGAGGTAAATACAGACACTTTATCTGTGGCATCTTGTAGTGATGCCAGTTTTCACTTATGGATAGTCTGATCTTTAGCACTAAAGACATGGAACAACAGGCAAACAGTGGGAGGTAAATACAGACACTTTATCTGTGGCATCTTGTAGTGATGCCAGTTTTCACTTATGGATAGTCTGATCTTTAGCACTAAAGACATGGAACAACAGGCAAACAGTGGGAGGTAAATACAGACACTTTTATCTGTGGCATCTTGTAGTGATGCCAGTTTTCACTTATGGATAGTCTGATCTTGAGCACTAAAGACATGGAACAACAGGCAAACAGTGGGAGGTAAATACAGACACTTTATCTGTGGCATCTTGTAGTGATGCCAGTTTTCACTTATGGATAGTCTGATCTTTAGCACTAAAGACATGGAACAACAGGCAAACAGTGGGAGGTAAATACAGACACTTTATCTGTGGCATCTTGTAGTGATGCCAGTTTTCACTTATGGATAGTCTGATCTTGAGCACTAAAGACATGGAACAACAGGCAAACAGTGGGAGGTAAATACAGACACTTTATCTGTGGCATCTTGTAGTGAAGCCAGCTTCACTTATGGATAGTCTGATCTTGAGCACTAAAGACATGGAACAACAGGCAAACAGTGGAAGGTAAATACAGACACTTTATCTGTGACATCTTGTAGTGAAGCCAGCTTCACTTATGGATAGTCTGATCTTGAGCACTAAAGACATGGAACAACAGGCAAACAGTGGGAGGTAAATACAGACACTTTATCTGTGGCATCTTGTAGTGAAGCCAGCTTCACTTATGGATAGTCTGATCTTTAGCACTAAAGACATGGAACAACAGGCAAACAGTGGAAGGTAAATACAGACACTTTATCTGTGACATCTTGTAGTGAAGCCAGCTTCACTTATGGATAGTCTGATCTTGAGCACTAAAGACATGGAACAACAGGCAAACAGTGGGAGGTAAATACAGACACTTTATCTGTGACATCTTGTAGTGAAGCCAGCTTCACTTATGGATAGTCTGATCTTGAGCACTAGAGACATGGAACAACAGGCAAACAGTGGAAGGTAAATACAGACACTTTATCTGTGGCATCTTGTAGTGAAGCCAGCTTCACTTATGGATAGTCTGATCTTGAGCACTAAAGACATGGAACAACAGGCAAACAGTGGAAGGTAAATACAGACACTTTATCTGTGGCATCTTGTAGTGATGCCAGCTTCACTTATAGATAGTCTGATCTTGAGCACTAAAGACATGGAACAACAGGCAAACAGTGGAAGGTAAATACAGACACTTTATCTGTGGCATCTTGTAGTGATGCCAGCTTCACTTATGGATAGTCTGATCTTGAGCACTAGAGACATGGAACAACAGGCAAACAGTGGGAGGTAAATACAGACACTTTATCTGTGGCATCTTGTAGTGATGCCAGTTTTCACTTATGGATAGTCTGATCTTGAGCACTTAAGACATGGAACAACAGGCAAACAGTGGGAGGTAAATACAGACACTTTATCTGTGGCATCTTGTAGTGATGCCAGTTTTCACTTATGGATAGTCTGATCTTTAGCACTAAAGACATGGAACAACAGGCAAACAGTGGGAGGTAAATACAGACACTTTATCTGTGGCATCTTGTAGTGATGCCAGTTTTCACTTATGGATAGTCTGATCTTGAGCACTAAAGACATGGAACAACAGGCAAACAGTGGGAGGTAAATACAGACACTTTATCTGTGGCATCTTGTAGTGAAGCCAGCTTCACTTATGGATAGTCTGATCTTGAGCACTAAAGACATGGAACAACAGGCAAACAGTGGAAGGTAAATACAGACACTTTATCTGTGACATCTTGTAGTGAAGCCAGCTTCACTTATGGATAGTCTGATCTTGAGCACTAAAGACATGGAACAACAGGCAAACAGTGGGAGGTAAATACAGACACTTTATCTGTGGCATCTTGTAGTGAAGCCAGCTTCACTTATGGATAGTCTGATCTTGAGCACTAAAGACATGGAACAACAGGCAAACAGTGGAAGGTAAATACAGACACTTTATCTGTGGCATCTTGTAGTGATGCCAGCTTCACTTATAGATAGTCTGATCTTGAGCACTAAAGACATGGAACAACAGGCAAACAGTGGAAGGTAAATACAGACACTTTATCTGTGGCATCTTGTAGTGATGCCAGCTTCACTTATAGATAGTCTGATCTTTAGCACTAGAGACATGGAACAACAGGCAAACAGTGGAAGGTAAATACAGACACTTTATCTGTGGCATCTTGTAGTGATGCCAGCTTCACTTATAGATAGTCTGATCTTTAGCACTAGAGACATGGAACAACAGGCAAACAGTGGGAGGTAAATACAGACACTTTATCTGTGGCATCTTGTAGTGATGCCAGCTTCACTTATAGATAGTCTGATCTTTAGCACTAGAGACATGGAACAACAGGCAAACAGTGGGAGGTAAATACAGACACTTTATCTGTGGCATCTTGTAGTGATGCCAGCTTCACTTATAGATAGTCTGATCTTTAGCACTAGAGACATGGAACAACAGGCAAACAGTGGGAGGTAAATACAGACACTTTATCTGTGGCATCTTGTAGTGATGCCAGCTTCACTTATAGATAGTCTGATCTTTAGCACTAGAGACATGGAACAAACAGGCAAACAGTGGGAGGTAAATACAGACACTTTATCTGTGGCATCTTGTAGTGATGCCAGCTTCACTTATAGATAGTCTGATCTTTAGCACTAGAGACATGGAACAACAGGCAAACAGTGGGAGGTAAATACAGACACTTTATCTGTGACATCTTGTAGTGATGCCAGCTTCACTTATAGATAGTCTGATCTTTAGCACTAGAGACATGGAACAACAGGCAAACAGTGGGAGGTAAATACAGACACTTTATCTGTGGCATCTTGTAGTGATGCCAGTTTTCACTTATAGATAGTCTGATCTTTAGCACTAAAGACATGGAACAACAGGCAAACAGGGGAAGGTAAATACAGACACTTTATCTGTGGCATCTTGTAGTGATGCCAGTTTTCACTTATAGATAGTCTGATCTTTAGCACTAAAGACATGGAACAACAGGCAAACAGGGGAAGGTAAATACAGACACTTTATCTGTGGCATCTTGTAGTGAAGCCAGCTTCACTTATAGATAGTCTGATCTTTAGCACTAGAGACATGGAACAACAGGCAAACAGTGGGAGGTAAATACAGACACTTTATCTGTGGCATCTTGTAGTGATGCCAGCTTCACTTATAGATAGTCTGATCTTGAGCACTAAAGACATGGAACAACAGGCAAACAGTGGAAGGTAAATACAGACACTTTATCTGTGGCATCTTGTAGTGAAGCCAGCTTCACTTATGGATAGTCTGATCTTGAGCACTAAAGACATGGAACAACAGGCAAACAGTGGGAGGTAAATACAGACACTTTATCTGTGGCATCTTGTAGTGAAGCCAGCTTCACTTATGGATAGTCTGATCTTGAGCACTAAAGACATGGAACAACAGGCAAACAGTGGGAGGTAAATACAGACACTTTATCTGTGGCATCTTGTAGTGAAGCCAGCTTCACTTATAGATAGTCTGATCTTGAGCACTAAAGACATGGAACAACAGGCAAACAGTGGGAGGTAAATACAGACACTTTATCTGTGGCATCTTGTAGTGAAGCCAGCTTCACTTATGGATAGTCTGATCTTGAGCACTAGAGACATGGAACAACAGTTAAATGCATTTAAAAACAGCTGCCTAAGGAAATTAATCAACATGAAATCAGATGAATTCAAGAAAAGACATCAGAGAAATGTCTAGACATCTGCTTGTGTCAAAAATTTTAAGAAAAAGAAGTTGACGGTATATTTAGGCACATAATGAGGGGTAGCGGACGGGCAGTCACCAAAGAGTGGCTGAAATGGGAACACATTGATTGAGGGATCTAGGACATACAAGAGAAACCCTCAAATGAACATCAATGAGAGAGGCCAAAGTTGCTGGACTTGATGCAATTCTGGATTCTAAAGGAATGCACAGAATAGAGAAACCCAGAGGAGCCCCATGTGATGTATAAGGGCACATCAGGATGCGATGGTGATCATTATGAATCTGAAACAACAACGCTGGCTGGTATTCATGTACCAGTTTCCACATATTTGTAATATATTTTTTGTGGTATCCATTAGTTGCTTTTGAATCCCTTTTTTTTTTTTTTTTTTTTTTATACATTTTGTGGAGTTTTGGACAGAATTGTGCCTCTATGATGATAAATGTACAACCTTTTTTTTTTTTTGTTTTACCGTTTCTGGTTACAGCAGAGAATTATTATCTGCTGGTTGCAAATATCACCTTATTTTATTACATTTATGTGGGTTATTAGCAAAGGATTATATCTGCCTTGTAGCATATTTCAGCTTCATTTCTGGTTTACAGCAGTGGATTATATCTGCCTTGTAGCAAACTTGACATTTTCTTTTTGGCTTCAATAACTTAACCCTGGCACGTGGGCATGGCTGGATGGTGGCACATGTTGAGCTCGTTGGTGAATGTTGAAGGCAGGTGTTTGAATCTCTTCATCACACTTGATTTTATCAGGCGGCAGAAGGAAGGCAGATGACCGGGAGGAACAGCTGAGTCCAGGTTATGACGACACAGGAAAGAAGCCACCCCGGTCAAAATCTCCATTTGCCAAACTGTTTGGTAGCAAGGACAAGGGCAAGAAGTCAACCCCGACCTCGTCTCCTCAGATCTCACCCCGTGATTATGAGTCACCAAGTTTCCGCACACCTGGTTTGTCTCTTCATTGTTTTCATTTTTGCTGGAGTGAACCTCCCAGCTTGGTGGCGGCCTGGTGTCAATCGCACATACAAAACTGTTCTACCAAGTTTTCAATGTGTCTATCAGACATATCATTTATCTTTGTTTTTATTTTTGTTTTTTGTTTTTTTGTTTTTGTTTAATCCCCTTAGACACACAATTTAAGCATTAACAAAAATGAGGGTCTTCCTCGCTTCCTTTACCGCTTCGAAAGGTCGACGGAAGATATCTAAGTGCCATTTGTAAACTGAAGATCTTAACCAGCATCCCTGGTTAATTTGTAGTGTGCGCATTGTTCACTTCTCCACCTAAAGAGTATGAGATGTGGAAATTTGCTGTTGAGTGTGCTTGTAGTTAGATAATTTTGCTTCTTTCATCTGTTATATTTTTAAAATTGTGTACTTTATTTATGTTTAATTGTTTATTTTCACAATTTTCCTGGTGTTTTTACTTTCATTTTTGTGTGTGTGGGTCTGATTTAGCAGTCTCTGTTTAAAAACCATTTGCCACAGGGACATCTTGTCTTGCAGTTATGGCTTGGTATTTGCCACAGGGACATCTTGTCTTGCAGTTATGGCTTGGTATTTGCCACAGGGACATCTTGTCTTGCAGTTATGGCTTGGTCTCTCCCCCCACGCCCCACATATGTTTATTTTACCAGGGAGTATCTGTGTATGACAGTTTGTATTATTCTTGTCAGCGTATTCCGTTGCCGGAGAGACCAAACCAGTTATAGTTGGGTTTCCCCCACCTCTGTTTATTTGGTCCATTTCATCAGGGAGTACAGTATCTCTGTATGACAGTTTGTATTCTTGCCAGCTTATTCCGATGCTGGAGAGAACAAGTCCTTTTTGCCAGTTAGCAGTGCCATGCATGAAACAATATGTTAAGTCGTCGTAAGTGTTGTGGATTAGATGTATTAACCAGCACAGAAGATCAGCATTCACACGCCTACATGATAATGTTTGCTGTTTTCTATGCTTCACTCTGCTGGGATCATGCTGCATCATCAACAAGGGTGCTACAATATTGCCTAGGCTTTGTGCTGTGGAGAGGAGAGAGACATCAGTAGGCTTTGTGCTGGGGAGAGGAGAGAGACATCAATAGGCTTTGTGCTGGGGAGAGGAGAGAGACATCAGTATGATTTGTGTTGGGGAGAGGAGAGAGACATCAGCCCTGACTGTAACTTGCTTGTGGTTCCCATGTCTCTCTGTAGCACAGTATAACACTATCGTAAGAGACAAAAAGGTGCCTGCCCTCTAATGAACTATGCTGAGAACATCCCAGCATAGAACAGCATGGCAAGATCAGTAATACAACAGTACAACTGGTAGTGATCCGCGGACCACTTGTTAGACCTCCATTGGCCAGATTTAGGTTATGTGCAACATGCACAGCTGCACAGGGTGGCAGAATTCTAAGTTCAGCAAAATGTAACTAGCAGTACAATACATGTCAGTATTTTTATTGCTGTCATCATTATGAAAACTTGTGTCTAGTATTGCGGCATCATTGCTCCATTGAAACCCTAACTAAACATTTGTGTTCATTTCCATGTTTAAGTTGAAAGTATGGTTGAAAACTGAAGTAAATAATTCCACAACTTTTTGTTGGTAGTCCATAAATAAATAGTGATACTGAAGTTTAGCTAAAGAAACGGGGTGTAAAATAAATGACTGCACAGGGCATCATATGTAATATGTTATCACCATGTCCATACATCTTACATTATCCACTGATCTCACCTCACAATGTCCACTCATCTCACAATGTCCACTCATCACACATTGCCCACTCATCTCATCTTACATTATCCACTGATCTCACCTCACAATGTCCACTCATCTCACAATGTCCACTCATCACACATTGCCCACTCATCTCATCTTGCATTATCCACTGATCTCATCTCACATTGTCCACTGATCTCATCTCACATTGTCCACTGATCTTATCTTACATTGTTCACTGATCTCATCTCACATTGTCCACTGATCTCATCTCACATTGTCCACTCATCTCATCTCACATTGTCCACTCATCACACATTGCCCACTGATCTCATCTCACATTGTCCACTCATCTCACATTGCCCACTGATCTCATCTCACATTGTCCACTGATCTCATCTCACATTGTCCACTCATCTCACATTGTCCACTCATCTCACATTGTCCACTGATCTCATCTCACATTGTCCACTCATCTCACATTGTCCACTCATCTCACATTGCCCACTGATCTCATCTCACATTGTCCACTCATCTCACATTGTCCACTGATCTCATCTCACATTGTCCACTGATCTTATCTTACATTGTTCACTGATCTCATCTCACATTGTCCACTGATCTCATCTCACATTGTCCACTCATCTCACATTGTCCACTCATCTCACATTGTCCACTCATCTCACATTGTCCACTGATCTCATCTAACATTGTCCACTGATCTCATCTCACATTATCCACTGATCTCATCTCACATTGTCCACTGATCTTATCTCACATTGTACACTGATCTTATCTCACATTGTCCACTCATCTCACATTGTCCACTGATCCTATCTCACATTGTACACTGATCTCATCTCACATTGTCCACTGATCTCATCTCACATTGTCCACTGATCTCATCTCACATTGTCCACTGATCTCATCTCACATTGTCCAGTCATCTCACATTGTCCACTGATCTCACATTGTCCACTGATCTTATCTCACATTGTCCACTGATCTCATCTCACATTGTCCACTGATCTCATCTCACATTGTCCACTCATCTCACATTGTCCACTGATCTCATCTCACATTGTCCACTCATCTCACATTGTCCACTCATCTCACATTGTCCACTCATCTCACATTGTCCACTCATCTCACATTGTCCACTCATCTCACATTGTCCACTCATCTCACATTGTCCACTGATCTCATCTCACATTGTCCACTCATCTCACATTGTCCACTCATCTCACATTGTCCACTGATCTTATCTCACATTGTACACTGATCTCATCTCACATTGTCCACTCATCTCACATTGTCCACTCATCTCACATTGTCCACTCATCTCACATTGTCCACTCATCTCACATTGTCCACTCATCTCACATTGTCCACTCATCTCACATTGTCCACTGATCTTATCTCACATTGTACACTGATCTCATCTCACATTATCCACTCATCTCATCTCACATTATCCACTCATCTCATCTCACATTATCCACTGATCTCATCTCACATTATCCACTGATCTCATCTCACATTGTCCACTGATCTCATCTCACATTGTCCACTGATCTCATCTCACATTATCCACTGATCTCATCTCACATTGTCCACTGATCTCATCTCACATTGTTCACTCATCTCATCTCACATTATCCACTGATCTCATCTCACATTATCCACTGATCTCATCTCACATTGTTCACTGATCTCATCTCACATTGTACACTGATCTCATCTCACATTGTTCACTCATCACAATAATAATATTATGTGTGTGACAAGAAAGTCTTCCATGAGTCGCACAAAAACATGCGTGGACATATAGATAGGGCATCTTGTTGTTATAAAGTTCAGTCTTCTTGAAATATTTATTTGTCAGTGAAACACATACATCAGAATACATTTATTAGAATAGATTGATTACCAGAGCAAAGTTGTTCACTGCATGTCTACAATCTTGTTTCTGCAGAAGCTTCAGCACCATCTGAGTCTGTTCATGAAGAGGGTGTTTTGTCCAGGAAACATGAACTGGAGGTGGGGGAGAAGAGAGCCGGCAACAGGTAACTCATTGTTTATGTCTGCACTAGGCTAGGCTAGGCTAGGCTAGGCTACACAAGTGGCAGTGATCATAATGGATAAGAGAAACATAAAAGTAAACATCACAGCATACTGGGCCACCCATAGATGCTCCATCTGCAGCAGCACATGTCTTCAGGTGAAGCTACTGAATGTTCCTGCTGTACACGAGTTTACACCCATCGTTGTCTGCCTCTCATACATCTTCCCCCACTTGGGGAAGAGGGGGGGGGGGGGCAGGTCCCCATTTAACTCCAAATTCACACAAACCTTACAAGTTATTTAATCGTCTTCTTCATGTTCACTGACTGACAACTCCAGTGGAAAGTTCTGGTTGCTTGTCCACTTTTAGACTTCCATCAACATCATTCACACAGTCTTGACAGTGAAGTCATCTGTTTTCCTTCAGTTGCATGCATTCTCTTAAAAATGTCCCTTGTCCCAATGTGGGTGTCGTAGTTTCTTGTTGATTTCTATGCTTGTATGTCATCTACCTGGAGGAAAGGGGGGGGGGGGGGGGGGGTCTCAGAAGTAATTTAATCGGCCCTCATCTGCAGTGAGAAATATATCTGAACTTGTTTAATCTCTTCTGATCTGCCCAAGGTAACAGGATTTGTGTGTGGTTTGTTTAGTCTGAGGACCCACCGTGGTGTAGCGGCTAGTCGCTTGCTTGTGGATCAGAAGGTCATGTGTTCGGGTCCGGATGGAGCTAGACTTTTTAAAAATCTTAGGTTGACCCAGCCCTGTGGGTACCAGGTACAGTCCTGGGAGGTCAAGATGGGGTGTGTGACCCACCCAGTGCCAATTGGTCTATAAAATGTAGGTCTAACCCTGTATGCTCAGTACGCCTGAAGGAATGGAAAACGTGTTTGTTTAGTCTGTCACCTACCATTCTTTTCTACCTTCCTGTGCAGTAGCACACTGCTTCAGTCTCATTAGTTAGTTGCTAGTTGAGTTAGTCATTAGTCGAGGTTTTGGCATCACCGCAGACAGGTCGCCCCGTAACTGCTCCGTTCCTGTGCCAGAGCAAATCGGACAAAATGTTCTTCACTGTCCCATTTGAAAACTACTGAAAAACTTATCAGTCCCTGCTAAAAAATGCATAAAGGTGTGCCAGCACTAACAGTCCCATGCCAGAATTGAAGTCACTGGTGGCGCAGTCAGTCAGTCAACGAAAGCGGACATTACATCCGCTTAAGTACACATCGTTTTTGCGTGTAATCAGCCGTCCACTATTTTAGACGCAGGCACAACAGTAAAAAACATCCCATGAAATCCACAGCTCACAGTGTCACACCAAGCACTCAGCTTGGTAGTTGGGCAACGCAACATTTAGACTCCAGAAATGGGGACTTTGCATCAGCACCACCTAGCTGGAAACAGGCAACTTTTCCGAGCGCCAGTTGTCGGCCATTTTGGCCACAAGTCCAAAAATAATGATGTACTTTAGTCTCTACAGCGTTGAGCTGTAGAGGTTTCCTGACAGATTTGTAGTATAACTGTGTGCTTGCATTCCTGCATGTGAGAGATGGTGTGTGTATGAGAGAGAGAGAGAGAGCATGACTGTGTGTGTGTGGGCATACCAATGTGGTATTTTTTGTTCTTAACACATCTTCCCTCACCCCCTCTTTTACCTTTTTGAGCCAAACATGTTATTGCTGATTATTTCTACAGGTCCTGGGACAAAGTGTATGTGGTACTTCATGGACCAGCCTTGTCCTGCTACAAAGATCAGAAACATGCCAAATTGGTAAAACTTCCTCACCATTTCTTTGTTTATCCTTGTATATTACATTATCACAGTAGGGTTTAGAGTTGGGGGAGAGTTATCTCAGTACGAGGTCATAGACAGGATCTGCAGTGGGAGGAGAGTTATCTCAGTACCTGGTCATAGAGGGGATCTGCAGTGGGAGGAGAGTTATCTCAGTACCTGGTCATAGAGGGAATCTGCAGTGGGAGGAGAGTTATCTCAGTACCTGGTCATAGAGGGGATCTGCAGTGGGAGGAGAGTTATCTCAGTACCTGGTCATAGAGGGAATCTGCAGTGGGAGGAGAGTTATCTCAGTACCTGGTCATAGAGGGGATCTGCAGTGGGAGGAGAGTTATCTCAGTACCTGGTCATAGAGGGGATCTGCAGTGGGAGGAGAGTTATCTCAGTACCTGGTCATAGAGGGGATCTGCAGTGGGAGGAGAGTTATCTCAGTACCTGGTCATAGAGGGGATCTGCAGTGGGAGGAGAGTTATCTCAGTACCTGGTCATAGAGGGGATCTGCAGTGGGAGGAGAGTTATCTCAGTATCTGGTCATAGAGGGGATCTGCAGTGGGAGGAGAGTTATCTCAGTACCTGGTCATAGAGGGGATCTGCAGTGGGAGGAGAGTTATCTCAGTACCTGGTCATAGAGGGGATCTGCAGTGGGAGGAGAGTTATCTCAGTACCTGGTCATAGAGGGGATCTGCTGTGCGAGGAGAGTTATCTCAGTACCTGGTCATAGAGGGGATCTGCAGTGCGAGGAGAGTTATCTCAGTACCTGGTCATAGAGGGGATCTGCAGTGGGAGGAGAGTTATCTCAGTACCTGGTCATAGAGGGGATCTGCAGTGGGAGGAGAGTTATCTCAGTACCTGGTCATAGAGGGGATCTGCAGTGGGAGGAGAGTTATCTCAGTACCTGGTCATAGAGGGGATCTGCAGTGGGAGGAGAGTTATCTCAGTACCTGGTCATAGACAGGATCTGCAGTGGGAGGAGAGTTTCTCAGTACCTGGTCATAGAGGGGATCTGCAGTGGGAGGAGAGTTATCTCAGTACCTGGTCATAGACAGGATCTGCAGTGGGAGGAGAGTTATCTCAGTACCAAGTCATAGAGGGGATCTGCAGTGGGTGGAGAGTTATCTCAGTACGAGGTCAGAGACAGGATCTGCAGTGGGAGGAGAGTTATCTCAGTACGAGGTCATAGAGGGGATCTGCAGTGGGAGGAGAGTTATCTCAGTACGAGGTCATAGAGGGGATCTGCAGTGGGAGGAGAGTTATCTCAGTACCAGGTCATAGAGGGGATCTGCAGTGGGTGGAGATTTATCTCAGTACGAGGTCATAGACAGGATCTGCAGTGGGAGGAGAGTTATCTCAGTACCAGGTCATAGAGGGGATCTGCAATGGGTAGAGAGTTATCTCAGTACCTGGTCATAGAGGGGATCTACAACAGGAGGAGAGTTATCTCAGTACCTGGTCATAGAGGGGATCTGCAATGGGTAGAGAGTTATCTCAGTACCAGGTCATAGAGGGGATCTGCAATGGGTAGAGAGTTATCTCAGTACCTGGCCATAAAGAGGATCTGCAGTGGGAGGAGAGTTATCTTAGTACCTGGTCATAGACAGGATTTACAGTGGGAGAAGTTATCTCAGTACCTGGTCATAGACAGGATCTGCAGTGGGAGAAGTTATCTCAGTACCTGGTCATAGAGGGGATCTACAACAGGAGGAGAGTTATCTCAGTACCTGGTCATAGAGAGGATCTACAGTGGGAGGAGAGTTATCTCAGTACCAGATCATAGAGGAGATCTACAACAGGAGAGTTACCTCAGTACCAGGTTATAGAGCGGATCTACAACAGGAGGAGAGTTATCTCAGTACCATGTCATAGAGGGGATCTGCAATGGGTAGAGAGTTATCTCAGTACCTGGCCATAAAGAGGATCTGCAGTGGGAGGAGAGTTATCTTAGTACCTGGTCATAGACAGGATTTACAGTGGGAGAAGTTATCTCAGTACCTGGTCATAGACAGGATCTGCAGTGGGAGAAGTTATCTCAGTACCTGGTCATAGAGGGGATCTACAACAGGAGGAGAGTTATCTCAGTACCTGGTCATAGAGAGGATCTACAGTGGGAGGAGAGTTATCTCAGTACCAGATCATAGAGGAGATCTACAACAGGAGAGTTACCTCAGTACCAGGTTATAGAGCGGATCTACAACAGGAGGAGAGTTATCTCAGTACCATGTCATAGAGGGGATCTGCAATGGGTAGAGAGTTATCTCAGTACCTGGCCATAAAGAGGATCTGCAGTGGGAGGAGAGTTATCTTAATACCTGGTCATAGACAGATCTACAGTGGGAGAAGTTATCTCAGTACCTGGTCATAGACAGGATCTGCAGTGGGAGAAGTTATCTCAGTACCTGGTTATAGAGGGGATCTACAACAGGAGGAGAGTTATTTCAGTACCTGGTCATAGAGGGGATCTACAACAGGAGGAGAGTTATCTCAGTACCTGGTCATAGAGGGGATCTACAACAGGAGGAGAGTTATCTCAGTACCTGGTCATAGAGAGGATCTACAGTGGGAGGAGAGTTATCTCAGTACCAGATCATAGAGGAGATCTACAACAGGAGAGTTACCTCAGTACCAGGTCATAGAGCGGATCTACAACAGGAGGAGAGTTATCTCAGTACCAGGTCATAGAGGGGATCTACAACAGGAGGAGAGTTATCTCAGTACTAGGTCATAGAGGGGATCTGCAGTGGGAGAAGAGATCTCAGTACTTGGTTGTAGAGGGGATCTGCAGTGGGAGGAGAGTTATCTCAGTACCAGGTCATAGAGGGGATCTGCAATGGGTAGAGAGTTATCTCAGTACCAGGTCATAGAGGGGATCTGCAATGGGTAGAGAGTTATCTCAGTACCTGGTCATAGAGGGGATCTACAACAGGAGGAGAGTTATCTCAGTACCAGGTCATAGAGGGGATCTGCAATGGGTAGAGAGTTATCTCAGTACCAGGTCATAGAGGGGATCTGCAATGGGTAGAGAGTTATCTCAGTACCTGGCCATAAAGAGGATCTGCAGTGGGAGGAGAGTTATCTTAGTACCTGGTCATAGACAGGATTTACAGTGGGAGAAGTTATCTCAGTACCTGGTCATAGACAGGATCTGCAGTGGGAGAAGTTATCTCAGTACCTGGTCATAGAGGGGATCTACAACAGGAGGAGAGTTATCTCAGTACCTGGTCATAGAGAGGATCTACAGTGGGAGGAGAGTTATCTCAGTACCAGATCATAGAGGAGATCTACAACAGGAGAGTTACCTCAGTACCAGGTTATAGAGCGGATCTACAACAGGAGGAGAGTTATCTCAGTACCATGTCATAGAGGGGATCTGCAATGGGTAGAGAGTTATCTCAGTACCTGGCCATAAAGAGGATCTGCAGTGGGAGGAGAGTTATCTTAGTACCTGGTCATAGACAGATCTACAGTGGGAGAAGTTATCTCAGTACCTGGTCATAGACAGGATCTGCAGTGGGAGAAGTTATCTCAGTACCTGGTTATAGAGGGGATCTACAACAGGAGGAGAGTTATTTCAGTACCTGGTCATAGAGGGGATCTACAACAGGAGGAGAGTTATCTCAGTACCTGGTCATAGAGGGGATCTACAACAGGAGGAGAGTTATCTCAGTACCTGGTCATAGAGAGGATCTACAGTGGGAGGAGAGTTATCTCAGTACCAGATCATAGAGGAGATCTACAACAGGAGAGTTACCTCAGTACCAGGTCATAGAGCGGATCTACAACAGGAGGAGAGTTATCTCAGTACCAGGTCATAGAGGGGATCTACAACAGGAGGAGAGTTATCTCAGTACTAGGTCATAGAGGGGATCTGCAGTGGGAGAAGAGATCTCAGTACTTGGTTGTAGAGGGGATCTGCAGTGGGAGGAGAGTTATCTCAGTACCAGGTCATAGAGGGGATCTGCAATGGGTAGAGAGTTATCTCAGTACCAGGTCATAGAGGGGATCTGCAATGGGTAGAGAGTTATCTCAGTACCTGGTCATAGAGGGGATCTGCAATGGGTAGAGAGTTATCTCAGTACCTGGTCATAGAGGGGATCTACAACAGGAGGAGAGTTATCTCAGTACCAGGTCATAGAGGGGATCTGCAATGGGTAGAGAGTTATCTCAGTACCAGGTCATAGAGTGGATCTGCAATGGGTAGAGAGTTATCTCAGTACCTGGCCATAAAGAGGATCTGCAGTGGGAGGAGATTTATCTTAGTACCTGGTCATAGACAGGATTTACAGTGGGAGAAGTTATCTCAGTACCTGGTCATAGACAGGATCTGCAGTGGGAGAAGTTATCTCAGTACCTGGTCATAGAGGGGATCTACAACAGGAGGAGAGTTATCTCAGTACCTGGTCATAGAGAGGATCTACAGTGGGAGGAGAGTTATCTCAGTACCAGATCATAGAGGAGATCTACAACAGGAGAGTTACCTCAGTACCAGGTTATAGAGCGGATCTACAACAGGAGGAGAGTTATCTCAGTACCATGTCATAGAGGGGATCTGCAATGGGTAGAGAGTTATCTTAGTACCTGGCCATAAAGAGGATCTGCAGTGGGAGGAGAGTTATCTTAGTACCTGGTCATAGACAGATCTACAGTGGGAGGAGTTATCTCAGTACCTGGTCATAGAGAGGATCTACAGTGGGAGGAGAGTTATCTCAGTACCAGATCATAGAGGAGATCTACAACAGGAGAGTTACCTCAGTACCAGGTTATAGAGCGGATCTACAACAGGAGGAGAGTTATCTCAGTACCATGTCATAGAGGGGATCTGCAATGGGTAGAGAGTTATCTCAGTACCTGGCCATAAAGAGGATCTGCAGTGGGAGGAGAGTTATCTTAATACCTGGTCATAGACAGATCTACAGTGGGAGAAGTTATCTCAGTACCTGGTCATAGACAGGATCTGCAGTGGGAGAAGTTATCTCAGTACCTGG